GGTGCTGGGGGGGGGGGGGTTGGAAACAAAACAAAAAACCAAGACACATTCTTAGCGCCCCCACCCCACCCCGCCCTTCACACCCTCCTCCAAGAAAGCAAAGAGGCAATCCTGCAGGAAGCCGTTTTCTGTCTTACCTCAGTAAATATCCCAATGAACATTTCGGGATTTTTCAGACAAAATGGGTTAAACATTTTTTTTTTTTGGCCAAAGTCCGTATTTGATGAGCCAAGAGAGGAAAGCATACATTCGAACTCTAGTAGCGAACTCTCGACATTCATCAATCTTTCTGGACCTTGATTTCTCACCTTGTAAACGGGGAAAATCCACCTATTACGGGCAGACCTGCCCACCTGAGGGCACCGCGGTGGGAAGGTGAACAGCTTGCGCATTCCACCAAACCAGTTCTAGCACTTCTCATTACTGAAATCTGAAAAATACTTACACCACGGTAACAGCACTGCAAGTTCATCGCACGATGTAGCTCACGCCGGTGCGACACCAGGGTCTGGAAATCCTACATCGAGCCAAGCCCGAGTTGCAGTCTAGAAATCGTCAACCGCGCCCGGCGTTAAGAGTCTTGAAATACCAAATGGCAGTACGGTGATGTGCTACAGAGGTCTGGAAATCCTAAATTGCGCCACCGTGATTACCCCATGAGATACCAGCGTCTTAAAGCCTAAAGCGCCTCACTGAGAGGATCTAAAAGTCCTATATCCCATCTGGGTGACACCAGGGTCTACAAATCTTAAATGGAGCCACGGCCATGGAGATATCAGTCTTAATCCTAAATCCCTCCACTGCAATGCCGGAATCCAAAAATCCTATATAATAGCACCCGGGCAGATGCCAAAGTATAGAAATTCTGAATCGCCTGATGGAGATACTTGGGGTCTTGAAATCCTAAATTGCGCCATGGCAACAGCAAGGATCAAAAATCCTAAATTGCACAAGGGCAATACCACGTCTACAAATCCTAAGTCATACCACAATGACGATCAGGTCTAAAAGTCCTAAATCACACCGGAGTGATACTGATGTCTGTAAATCCTAAATCCCGACAACGAGATGACCCTAAGTCGTACCCTGCAACGAAGAGATTTATAAAATCCTAATTCGCGCAAGGGTGATACGAGAATTTTGAGGTCTTATGTCACACCGGTACAATGCGGGAGTCTAGAAATCCTAAGGGACCTCGTTGCCCGAATACTACTGCATTAGGATTGCCACCTCGCTCCTGGAGAAGGTGGAGTAGGTTAGACCAGGAATGCGCCGCCAGCCAACAGGCAACCCGGCACGGCACGGCACGGCATGGCGTCTCGGCCGCTAGCCCGCACCCAATCTTGGGACACCCGACCACACCCCCTCG